GTAACAGGAGGAGAGTCGGAAAATGAGATTAAAGGATGGCGGGAAGGAGGGGGAGCTTGGACCTATAAGGAGGAATCGCAAAAGCATCGATGACAAAACAAGGGAGCAAACCGGCAAGCTAGGCAGGCAGATCGGAGGCTGAGGCCAACCTGTGGGGTCAACAACAAAAAGAAGGGGGGAGAGCACAACAACTGTCTTGGGAAGGTGGTGACTAAGATGACAAGACAACGAAGGATACTGCAAGGGTTTTAGCAGGGTTTAAGCAGGAGTTGGGATTCCCACGACACTAGGCACGCTCGGATAGGACGGGAGCAAAAGCAGTATTTTTGGCTAAGGGGAGAAGACACAGATGGCAGATAATCAACGACAGGATGTTCTCATCCACCTCACCTTACAGCATGAGTTCTTACAGAACTTTAGGGGGTTAAGCATGAGTCCGCAGAAAGTTTGGGACAACACATGACAAAAGGGGGGCTGCAAAAATAGGGTTGGATCATTGGATAAGGGTGCTCCATGATGGGTTGGGTGTTATTGGCAGCTCCAGGGAAAAAGGTGCCCCCTGGGAGATAAGAGATTCCTACAACCCTAGGATCATAAACAATCAATCATGTTCCTCAAGATATCTCAATGGGACGCCGGGCCCGGTTCTCAGCAGGTGCCGCTCCCCACCAATAGATGGAGCAGCCCCAACAAATAAGACCTCAATCATGACGGTTCTCTTACCACCGCCGGAATAGAGGTGTCACGCATGGGTTATTTCTCAAAAAAAAAAAAAAAAAACACCCAAAACAGGTACAGGCTGCCTGTAAAAACGGGCGCCTGTCACGAACTCTGGGAGCTGCAACTCCCAGCTTCTCAAGTTTTTTTGTTTTTTTTTTTCTCTTTCAAAAGCTCCATCTATTGGTGGGGTGTGACAAACCACTTTCCGCACCGCGCGATAGCAACGAGGGGTCCTAAGCAGAGAAGGTTGGGCCAATTACGGGAGATTGGGATGGATGGGAAATTGCATCAGTACCCTCACTTCTTCGTCTTTTGCGTCAATTCTTTTCGGCTGGTTGAGTTCGGAGCTGGGTGTGTCCCGGGACGGGTGATTGATTGGTCGGCTGGATGGCGGGTGCGCCGCCGAGCGCGCGAATAATAAATGTTGACGCCGTTTCTTTTGTTCGGTTTGGGAATTTAAACGAGGACATCGCGCGGGAATTTGCTTCGTTCTTTTTTAATTTTCTTTTTGAATTCTTTTTCGAATTTTATCGAGCCCCGATGGCTCCCGGAATTTTGAAATTTCCTTTCGAAACTTGTGCTTTTTGCTTTTCCGCATTAGTTAGGAATTTAGGAATTTTGTAATTAGGACTTTTCTTTTGCCGCGCGGCGCTTTTTGCTTACGCGCTTCTTTATGCGGCTGCAACGGAATTTTGATTAGTCGGCGCCTTTAATCGGATGTGTAACTGTAATTTTGGGTTGGCGCCATGCAGAGCGCAGACGCTCCCTCTCTTATCTTCTTTCTAAATCCTTGTAATTTCGTGTTCTTCGCCCATGCATGCACACTATAAATTCAGGATGCTCGATTAGTTAGCCCTCTTAACCAGCTGTTGGAAGCTCGGGGTTGCGCGATCAGAGAGGGTCGGCACACGAGCGAAGTAAGAGGTGAGTAGGGAAGGAGTCGGGCGACCCGACAAGCTGGTGCCAAATGCCCGGGGTTGGCGCGGGCCACGACGGACTGTGGGCGCGGGGTGACGGCTTCGTGGGTTGGTGCGCGATGACGGACTGTCCGCATCGAAAAAGAAGAGAGAGGAAGAGCGAGTTGAGGTTGATGGACGCGGGTTTGCTGTTTCTTTTATCTTTTCTCCCTCATGTCTTGTGTACATAAATTTTGAGTTTGGCGCCGGGCGATCAGCCCGTTCTTTCTTTTTCAGAATCTGGACTAGGGTTCTGCTCATATTTGTCTTCGCGATTTCCATCTCCGATGCACTGTGTGTATGTTGCTGAATGAATGAATGTATGAATGCCATGTTTGGTTGCTTATCTTTCTACCGGATCCTTGCCGCTGCCTTGTTAAGTGCATTGATGCACTCGTGAGTAGAATATAAATTTTGCACAATCGACAATCCTGTTCTCGTTTTTGTTTCTCTTGATTGGGCTGTTGCGTTGGTTGCATCTTGCATGCTCGAACACACGGAGTGATTAGATGATCGGTTGTCTGGCCCAATGAACGTCGCGCGAGGACACGTGTCAACGCGACTTGATTTGCGCACATACACTCGCTCCGGTACGTCGGTTCGTCAAATCTCAAAAGGGATTATCGATTGCGGGGATATTGTCTGATCGAACGTGGCCGTTCCGCGTCAAGCGACGAAGCCATCGTCCCATATAAGCACGTGTAAGCGCGGCTCAATTGCGTGGTCTGCCCGTGCTTGCACGCGGCGATCGCCTTCGGCAAGGACATGCCCTTAGGAACTTCGCAACTCAACGATGACATGATGACGCGCTCCGAGATCTCGGAGTCATTGTTATACAATCCGGACTACTTCACCCCGTGGGTAAACGAAGTCCTGCGACCAAAATACCCTTGCCTAACCGAGAACCGACTGTGCCCTCGGGAGTTTCACTGTGCCACCACTAGCGACCCCCGGTGCTTTGATTTCCCCTCTCCGGACCATACCTACTACTTCACCCACCCCGAATTTGTCGTTCTCTCCACCAGCTTCCCTCCCTTCCGCCTTCTTCTTCTGTATCACCAACTCAGCGTCGTCCCGTGGCCCGCCATAGCCCCATACTGGCCCAATACGCCCTGCGGAAACTGCCGACGACGCGACGATCCGAGAACCCCGGAATCCCGGAGGCCCAACCCAAACGCGCAACGACCGGTGCCACGTGGCAACTCCCGACGGCCTGACTCATCGAAACCCCACCTACCCCGAAGGGACCCTCCCGCAAACCACCGTCCCCGAAACCGATGGCTCGACCGGCCTTGAGCGACCCGCGCACACCACCTGCCTTGTGACTAGGGGCGGTCCACCCTCTCCGCCAAATTGCACTCGTGCCCCCGAAAAACCCTGCCACAGGAGATCTCAGTTCTGACTTGGGACTCCACTTTCCCAAAAATCCTTGGCACACCCCTTTTCGCACTTCCAGGCCCACACTTTACTCCGATCAGGAAGTCGCGCTGGGCGTGAAGTTGGTATCGGAGCCCGACACGTGGCCGGGTCTTAGGATTAATAACACGCTACTTGGGCGATCTGGCTAACCAAGGGCGACCTCGACCCCGGAACGAGCATAGACGCGACCCCGTCATCACCCGAAGTAGATCGACTAATCGACGGGCAGCCAACATGAATGCTGATGTACAGAACCCGAAACCGCAACAGAATGCTAATCAGCCAAATCCTAATCAACCCGCCCCACGAGCACGGACTCCCATGACGCCACCTGATCTTTATCTATTCGACCCAGCACATCATCTTGCAGGAGCATATGGTTGGCCACGCTCCGAGCACAGCAGTATGATGATAACGAAGCGCAGGTAAACATTCCTGCTGAATTAGGAGGAGACGCTTATCATTGGTTTAGTACCTATGTATGGGTTGATCTTTCGACCTTCGAACGGGATTTTCTTAATCGATTTGATTATGTCCATCCAGAGCAAGCACTTTACATGATCAAGGACCGAGTGCAAAAACCTCTCGAGTATATCGCAGAATACCGAAACCGGTTCTACCGAATGTTTGTGAAGACTGAGCGAGGCGAGCAAGTCGGGAGAGATTTGTTTATTGATGGGCTTCGCAGCCGAACGATAAGGGCGAAGCTGCGAAAGCAATTTTTCCCCATCAATCACACGCTGCAACAGATCATGGCCGCTGTAGAAGAAATGGAACGAATGTTCGCGGCGAGCTTCCTCGAAGGAGAAGACTATTCGAGGGACGGAGATTCGTCCGAACTTGCGAGGGCGAGAGCTGAGCTGGCCGCATTACAGAACAAGTTCGAAAATATGGGATATGTGTCTGGTCCAGTCACCTATCTAGAACAGGTGAGCCCTAAACGACCGACCCCAAGTGAGATCCCGAGTGTCCCTGTTCCTCTGATGACAACACCTGTAAGAACGGCAGCCCCGCCACCAATTGAGAATCCTGTAAGAACAAATGAATCTACTGCCATCTTCGAACTAACCAAAACGTTAATTAGCCTAATCCAGGAAAGCAAAAAGGACCAGCGACAGCACAACGCTCGGTTAGAAGCCATGATGCGAAACATGCAGCTCATCGCGGTGCGTGCCCCTTCGATTCAACAAGGACTGGCCCCGACGCCTGTTCTCGGAGGAGCCGCAAGCAATTTAAATGTCTGTTATGCATGCCATCAGCCAGGGCATCTAGCCTGATTGCCCCCACCGACCCCCGCAACAACGGGTCGAAGTAGCACCAATGGCCGCAACTCCTATCGCTAACGGACCTGGACGGGTAGGAGCCCTGATGGAAGAAATGGAAGGTGGGGGAAGTGCGTTAGCAACTACGGAAGAAGCCGCTGAGCTCATCCCGTTATATTTGTATGTATCGCTTGGTTATCCTGGGCTTGGAATGATTGGATCGATCAGACCGGCGCCGAAACAGAAAGAAGTGGCGGAGTGGCGACCTTCTCCCGGAGAGATGGAGTCGGGAGGACCCACCTTTGTCACAGGGGAAATTGACGTACTGAACATCATCCGAGCCCTGGATCATCGGATTCCACTTCCGATCGGCCATCTGCTCTCGATCTCCGAACAGGCTAATGAGCGGATGCTACAGCACTGCAAGGCGAACCGAAAACGATTCGCCCTCGCCCGAACCACGAACGTAAAGGCTAAAAGTCCCATGCCAGAAGAAAACACATCTGACACGACGGATCCAATACGGGTAGGATTAATACAGAAAGACGACCATTTCCTACGGATCAAACCCATCCTGTGAAAATCTGCGGAATGCGATATTGACATATGGGGGATTCCGTACAATGCAATAATTGATTCGGGAGCTACTGTTTTTGGCTATCTCACCGAGAGTAGTTAAGAGGGCAGGTAGGAAAAACGACCTGATCATGCTTACAGAAAAGGATCAGCTCGTTTCGGCAGACAAAGAAAAGATTAAAACAGTGGGAAGAATGACCAATGTGGCTTTCCGATTGGGAAAGGTGCACGCACTGGGAGATGTCGTGGTGCTAGATGTAAATACCTACGACGTTCTTTCCGGACTTCCCGCTCTTGTGGCATTACGAGCGAACCTGGATTTCGATCGACGGTCAATCATCCTCCGAAATACGGGAGGAAAGCCCTATGTTGTACCTATGAGACTGACCCTTCGCACTACCATCTACGCAGTCCCGCGAGTTTCGCCGATGTTAGCAGGGACTCTCTGTATGATCACCTGGGAAGACTCCACAGATGATGAGCCATCATCGAAGGATGCGGATAGCAGTGACGAAAATGATCCAGAAATCTTGAGGCTAGCGCGACAGCGTATTTATTACCCGCCGCCCAGAACGATCGCAAGAACGATGCATCTAACTAGTAGGAACATCCACAGGACCAAGGCGATGATTTTGGGAGAACCCCTCGTACAGATTTCGAGGATGGTCGATTCCTTGGAACCCCCTCAAACTCTGTACGAAGGAATCCCCCCCCTCCTCGCCCGATACAACGACAAAAAGCACTACTGCGATATCACAGATCTCCCGAAGTCCCTATTGACACCCGCAAAGGAAGTACAACTGTTACGTCTAGGGGCGGAGGTCAATTCTTTGGAACCCCCTGGGCGTCTCGAGGCTGAATCAGACGAACTCGGAATAAAGATCGCAACTAAAACCGTGCCATGGCAGGATATCTGCGATGGGATCACCCCGGAAGGACACGTGGCCATTCGGGAGGAAGACGCCCAGATGATGGCCAAGGTGTTTTCCTGGCGATCGGACCATTCGTTTATCTCTGCGCCACCGCCTGATGTGGCAAAACAAGCATGCACGAAACAGATCGACGTACGGATCTGGGATCAGCTATTTGAGTTACACGTTCCACAGTACGTACCTAATGAGATTCACCGTGTGATTACAGACATTCTGATAGAATACCAGGGAGCGATTAGCGTAACCGACACTGACATTGGTTTGTCGTTGGTTATTCAACACGAAATTCAGACGGGAAATCATTCCCCAATCCACTGCAAGCCCTACCGATACTCCCTGATAGAACGGAAAAAGGCTCTCGAACGAATTCGTGAATTCGAAGCCAGCGGATGGATTGAACCCGCCACCGAACCATCGTCATTTCCAGTAGTGTTAGTACCGAAGAAGAACGGATCAATTCACATATGCATCGATTATCGCAAGCTGAATGAAATCACGATTAAAAATGTGTATCCCCTCCCCCGGATTGATGATTTGATGGATGCGATTGGATGCGCTAATTATTTTAGCAAGTTTGATATTCGGCATGGCTTCCATCACATTCTGGTTAAGGAAGAAGATCGGCAAAAGACGGCCTTCGTGTTGTTCGAAGGCATGTGGCAGTGGGTTCGGTGTCCGATGGGGATTTGCAACACGCCTGCCACGTTTCAACGAGCGATGAACATGACATTCCAGAACTTCTTCAACAAGACGCGGCTAACTCAGGGAATGATCAACTTCTGCGTGATCGTATACATGGATGATATCCTTGTCTACTCGGAGACCTATCACGGACATGCACAACACATTGAGTGGATGTTGGGAGCGCTGAGGGACGCTGGGTTCAAGATCGCACTCGAAAAGAGCAATTTTTTCCTCTAAGAAATTTCGTTCTTAGGCTACGTCGTGACACGTGGAGGATTGCGGCCTGACTCGAGAAAGGTTGCGGCAGTGAAAGAAGCTCCAGTTCCCACGTCGTAGACGCAGGTTCGAGCATTCTTGGGGTTGGCACCGTACCACCGCCGTTTCATCAAGGGCTTCGCCGCAATTGCACGGCCGCTAACGAACCTGTTACGAAAAGACCAGCCTCTCAGTTGGGACGCGGAGTGTGAGCAGGCCTTTGTGACCCTCAAGGACGCTCTGTCGGCAGCACCTATTTTGATCCGACCGAACCCCTCGAAACACTTCATTCTTATCACGGACTGGCAACCGGAAGCTATTTCCGCTATTCTAGCGCAGAAGGGGAACGATGGTCGCGAACATGTCATCGAGTACGCGTCGCGAACAGTGCCAGACGGACGAAGGAATAACTCAGCACCCCAAGGCGAATGCTATGCAGTAGTTTGGGGAATCCAACACTTCCATCCGTACCTCTACGGACAAAAGTTCCGCCTTGTGACGGATCATGAACCTTTACTGGCGTTGAAGAAGCTCACTAATTACACGGGCATGATTGGACGTTGGGCGGTGCGATTACAAGAGTACGACTTCGACATCATCCACCGAAAGACAAAGAGGCACGACAACGCGGACGGACTGACACGCCTGCATCGGCCCGCTAAAGTACTGAAGAGCGAGGAAATCACTCCGTGGAAGGAGTCAGAACCGGCAAACGGGCCTAGGTACGGACAAGTGGCAGTTCTCCCCCGTGGCAAGAAGCAGACCGGTGGCAATGGATGACGGAGGTAATCCCACTACCCCTCTTTCTCCCCTCTCCTCTTCGTCTATTCTCTCCCTGCCTGATAAATTTTGTTATTTTTGTGAAGCAATTTCTCGCGTATACTCTGTCTCCATGTGTCCTAGTGGGGAAGGGTATGCGGAATGGATAGACTGCCGACAGTGTGTCGCACGAGCCCACGGCTCGTGCATCCAATACGGAAACGACAGTAAACCGTGGTTATGCCCCTTGTGTCGGGTTGACAAGATCCCGACCGAGGCTCGTTTTCTGGATGCCACGTCAGAAGGGTTGGAAAAGACCCGAAAATTTCGAAGGGCCGAAGTATGGACCGACATCGCTTTGATTGCCACCTTAGTTGGTAACCCCCTCCAGGATTTCACCAAGGAAGATCGGAGGAGGGCTAACGAAAGGGCTCGGGACTATCGATGGATAGAGGGTAGGTTAGAAAAATGAAAAACCGACGGCAGAGGGATTTGGATGGTTGTATTGCATCCGTTCATGAGGTATGACTGGATGAAGACGGCACATGAGGAAACGGCAGCCCATTTTGTCGTTCGGATTACATAATCGACAATCGACAAAAATGAGTGGTATTGGTCCAATATTCGCGATGATGTGAAATTCACTGTCGCAAACTGTCAAGTCTGCGCTGCTGACAAGACGCCGATCCAGCCGCCAAGATCGATAGTACCAACGGTAGTTGAACGCCCGTTCCAAAGGGTGAGTATTGATACTACCGATATTGTGGTTCCGCCTGGTCCTAATAGTTGTGAATATTCAGTCCTGTTGGTATTCGTCGACCATTTTTCGAAGTGGATCGAGGCCTACCCATGTCGCACCCGACAACCGCCGAAATCGCACGGTATGTTAACCGTTTTCTCGAGATGCACCAAGATACGAAAGAAATCGTGACCGATAATGGGGCAGAATTCAAAGGGGAAGTATTGAGGAACCTGGTCATACACGGTGTCTCTATGCGGAACACCTCGCCCCAGATGTCACAATCCAATGGGCTGGTAGAAAAAGCAAACAGGGTGATAAAGACAGCGATGCAACGAAATATCGCGGCACGACTCAGAGACCCGAGGCCCTAGCCCAATATCGTCGATCACATCCTAGCGAAACATCGCGGAACGCCCCATGAATCGACGAGCCTGAGCCCCTTCCAATTAAGGACTAATAGCATCGCTTGTGTTTCGATACCAAGCCTCCCTGACGAATGGACGCTCAACCGCCGGCCCACAAGGGCCACGACGCAAGACAAAGCCAAGCGATACTTAGAGTTAATGGAACAATCCCTCCCTAGGTTAGCCCAAAAACGCCAGAAAATGACCGAGTTGGCCCATGGCCGACAGGTCCGAAGCTACGAGGCCCGGAACGGGAACGCATGGCCACGGCCCCAATACAAATTGGGGGACATTGTGCAAGTGAGGAAATTCGCCAGGGCAAGCTAGCGCCACGATTCTTCGGGCGATTCCGCGTGATTGAGCTCAGACACAACGGCGTGAACACCGTGCGACTTGCGCCTGAGGTCTCCGGCAGCCGACCAGCTCGTCCGATCATCCGCCACGTGTCCTACCTTCGTGCCCTTCCTCTTTCCCCATCTTCGCCTTCATCCAATTCCTTCTCCGCTGCGGAAGAGGACGACGACTGTTTATCGCTTGTCTCTCTGTCTCCCTGTCGTTCTCTTTCTATTACCCAATCTCCATCGCCATCGCCATGAGTTTTCTTACGGAGCGAGCCCTCGGCGATCCTCTGCTGGTGCCACTGTGTTACATCTCGGCGATTCGACAAGACCATCATCCGCGGCTCAATCCGGATCTTCGGCGACTTACGCAATTCTTCTGTACTCAGGGAGTGTACACAGCCGCTGAGTCTCGTCTTGCAGGAAGTCCCCGGGCGGTTGTTTTAGCAAAGGCGGTAGGAGTTCATCGGCGATCGGCGCCGAGAATCAGCCACGTGTCTACGATGGTCGCCTTCAGTGGCGACATCAGCACCATCAGCCCGTTGCGGCATACAGCTATTAAAACGACGCTCCGGCTGTGGGCACAGCAGTTGGCGGCGGAGTGGAATCGTTGGCTCACGCCCTACGGAGATAACCTTTTTCCCACGGACGGCGTCGATTTTGAAGGGATCCGAACCTTCCAGCACGAGCCAGCGGTGGTGCTCCTGGAACTCATCCCCTTGCCCCGTCCTCAATGAACCCATCCCCAATCTCGACCTTCGACCTTCACTCCTTCTTTCCCACCTTCTGGCAGTCCGGAGTCCATCCGCATCTTTCCTTTCGTCTGGAATCACTTGCTGTCCCCCTCCTCGATCCCCTGCATGGAGGTGTTGGCGAGAGCACTTCGTTGAGTTGTCGGTGTGTCTGGTCGGAGTAAGGGTCACGTGGACGCCGCACGAGGATCACCGCCAATGGGCCAAGTATCTCGAACTGCTTATCATCCAGGCGTGGCGAACGGAAGTGAAGGGCGATCTCCTCGGATTCCTCTTCGGATCGGTGCGGCCTGATCACCGCCAACCGATCGTGCACATCATGCACGAGTTAACGGTCCCCCTTGCGCAGTTGGCCGACGATCTCCCACTCGAGATCGTCTCGCAGAGCGACGACAGCCCGGTCCCACACGTCCTCACGCGGACCTTCAGTGGTCGGCGTGCTTGGAGGAACCAGGAAGCGGCCTCAACCCACCATCACTGCGCGATTACCTGGACCCTCACGAGATAGTCGACCTCGCCTTCTTCCAAGATCGGATGGCTTCCGAGAACGAAGAAGTAGTGTGCCGGACCCGCCGAGATGGTGGTCCGACAGGATGGAGACGAAGGGTAGATGGGGGAGGAGATAGAGATAAAGCTGGAAGGGACAGCGCAGCTCCGACGCAGACTCAACACGCACGTACTCCAAGATCTGCCAAAGTGAAGAATGGCGAAAAACAGACAAGTGTTGGGGTATACCCCCAGCGGACTAACTGACTGGACTGGACTGGCCTGGTACCGACAGTGGTACCGGGCAGGACTAGAACAGCACACGGCTTGTGGGGTCAGGCCACGGCCTGGTCCCACAGGCCGAACTGGGCAAATAGCCAAATAGGCCTTGGCTATAGGCCAGGGCAGATGAAGGCCCGCTGCACGATCCTCAGACCTGTAATGGATCGCAAGAGCCATAAACACGCTATCCGCAAAAGCAACGGAACTCTGCAATAAAGAAAGCTGAGAAATCTAGGATGCGGAGCAAGCTCCATGCGGAGTCCATGTGGTGCATCCTAAACTACATAATGTCAAAAGAAAAGCAAATGTCTAGTATACATATCCTAGCTAACAGCAGAAACTGAAATGTAGTATAATACAATCCTAAAGCCCTGGAGGCAGTGGCCTGAGTGCTGAAAGGAAAAGGGCAATATGTCACAAAATAATGTCATGTCGCTGAACCACTAAGAGTGGGATGGTCTCAGAGGGGGTGAATGCAGCCTAAGAATCGAAACTCCTAAGGGCAGTCACACATGAAGGTGGRATAGGTCATCAGGCTCAAGGTGGGAGAGTGGTAGCGAAACAAAACCAATGACCCTAACAGATAGACCATCAAGGCGGGTAATGCTCGACAAAAGGGTGACACCATGCAGGGCCGATCATGAAAAGGGGGAGCCCGGAATAGGGTGGAGCTATGCCGAACAGGAGGCATGCAATAGCCGGCTCTAGCGTGATGAGGGCAGTGGGTGAGGGTAACATGCACACAACTCACCGGCTGCGAGAGGGAGCTATATCTGGGAGCAAGGAAGCCAAGATAACGCTACGGTCCCAATGCCTATGCGATACAAAGGGAGAGTCAAACTCAAAGAGACCCAGCTAAGTGAGCACCATCATGCGACAGGGGCAAGGGAGTATGCAGGGTAGGGTGGTGACGTGAAGTAGTCACGTCCAAAGTAGTTGAAGTCGTCGAAGTAGTCGATAACGTCGATGAAGTAGCAGTGGAGTCGATGTCGAAGCAAAGCCGCAAAACGCTGACATCCTGAAGAAGAGTTGATAATGGAGTACCTGATGGTGTGAGTCAGTAGGGAAAGATAAAGGATAAGAGTGTCAGTCATCGTAACGCGAAGGGCGACGATGAGTGCGTTGTGGACGCTCGGAGGCGACCGTCTGTGGCTGAGGAACGGCCTCAGAGGGAGTGGGCTCGTCCTCAGCAATCTCCTCAGCCGGAGGAGGAAGAGGGTCGGTCAGCTGAGTAGAAGCAGATGTCTCAGCACGACGAGCACGATCACACCAACATCCTGGCGTGCTGCAAGTGCTCGAGGGGCTCCCAAGTAGCCTCCTCATCAGGGTAGCCCTTCCAACGCACAAGGTACTCGATACGTGGAGGGGTATTGTCGGTAACTCGGCGTGATACGATGTCGGAAACAACGAACTCCTCGTGACCGTCCACCATGATAGGTGGAGGGCGCTCATAAAGGCATCCGGCAAAGCGCTCGGACGATCTGCGATAAGGACGCAACAAGGAGACGTGGTAAACATCATGTACGCGAGCCTGTCGAAGGTAATCAGGTAGCTTCACACGGAAGCTGACCGGACTAGCGGCAGTATCAGAACCGACGGCCTTAAGGATGCGGCATGGACTGAAGAAACGACGCCTGAGCTTGCAAAGCGTATCTGCTTCGAGTTGTAAGTGGCGTGCGTCGACGAGCACATCGTCACCGACTTTGAATGGATGATCCATTCGTAATCGGTTCGCTCGTGCGGCCATGCGAGTCTCGGAGTCGGCTAAACTCTCGTGTGCGCGCTTCATAATCGCCGCCATGGGGGCGATCCAGTCGTCAAGCGCAGGGCAACGAGTGTCTGGGCACAACCGCGATGGTCGTAGGAAATCCGCAGGTACGCGAGGGTGGTAGCCGAGGTCGCAATAGAATGGCGACATCCCCGTGGCTGGCGAAACAGCGTGGTTGTACGCAATCTCCGCGTGGGCTAAGTGTAAGTCCCACTGCTGGTCATCCCTAACAAACTTTCGAAGGATATTACCGAGAGCTTTATTGGCGACCTCAGTCTGACCATCCGTCTGAGGGTGGTAAGACGATGAGAAGCGGAGCTGGGATCCGTACACCTCATGTAGTCGTCGCCAGAATGTGCTGGTAAAGCGCGGGTCACGGTCGGAGATGATGCTCTGGGGTAAGTCGTGATCTCTCACAACTCGGTCGAAGACGATGTCGGCGACCTCACGAGCGCTAATGCGATAGCGGCACGGGACAAAACGTGCACGCTTCGTGAAGCGATCGACGACGACCAAGATAGCATCATGACCCCGCTCAGTGGGTGGGCGGAGGGGACCAATGAAATCCATCGAGATGGATTGCCAACGACCCTCAGGTATGGGTAGGGGTTGAAGTAACCCATACGGAAGGTGGTTCGCACTGTTCACCTCCTGGCAGGTAGGACACTCCTGGATGTAGGCTTTGACAAAGTCCTTGGACTTCGGCCAGACGTATAGGCGGCAAACACGAGCCAACGTCTTGTGGAAACCCATATGACCAGCAGTTGCCTGGTCATGGAACTCTGCTACAGCCTGGACACGGAGCTGTCATGTGGAGGGAACGCAGATACGTGGTTCTAGCTGACCAGATCTGCCATGCCAGTACACGAGGCTGTTCTCCCCGAGGGAGTAGGAAGGAACGGTCTTGCCACTCCGCAGTGTCGCGTGGATGACGCGATAATTGGGGCAGTGGCGGTACTGAGTGCGATACGCGTCGATCACCGACTGATCAACAGTGGTGATGGAGATGGCAGCAAGATGGATGGGTTCCTGATTGTGATCAGGACGGCGGGACAAGGCATCGGCGACGCGGTTCTTTTCACCCTTGATGGGCTGAGTGGTGAAACTGAACTCGGATAAGTCATGCCACCAGCGTGCCTGTCGAGGGGAAAGCTTAGACTTCGTGAGGAAAGCCTGGACAACTGAGTTGTCCGTGCGCACCGTGAAGGGCGCCCCGTGCAGATAACATAAACTACTGCGAGAACCTCACGTTCATCGGCAGTATAATTTATCTCGGCACGCAGTAGCTCACGGGAGTAGAAAGCGATCGGGCAATCCCCATCACGAGCCTCGACAGTCCCATCTTCCGCGATGGTCGGGAAGTAAGTAATAGGAGGACTGTCAGTGGAGGGAAGTGGTGGGAGGGTAGGTGTCAGTCAAGAAGCAGTGTCAGCAGGAAGGGGGGGGAAAGGAGGGACATGGGGGTCACGTGAATCTGGAGGAGCGAGAAACACCTGAGAAAGGACAGCTCCTACTGCAAAGTCTGACGCATCGGTGGTGACGATAAAGGGACGATCAAAATCGGGAAGGCGAAGAACCGACGCACAGGTCACCGCCTTCTTGAGGGCGCGAAAGGCGTCCTCGCACAGGGGTGTCCAAAACCACGGCAGGTTCTTCCGGAGGAGGGTAGAGGTAAGAACGTAGGAATACCTAGCGTATCCCTGGATAAAATTACTATAGTAGCTGGTGAGGCCTAGGAAACTGCGAAGCTGCTTGGCAGATGTGGGGACGGACCACTCTGCAATCGGTAGGACATCGCGGACGTGTTTGAGATGGTCTTCTAATGTACGACTGTAGACCAAGATGTCGTCCAGGTATACGAGAACGTATTCTTCAAGGATGTCCCTGAAGATGTCGTTCATCGCCGTCTGAAAGGTGGCGGATGCATTGGTGAGGCCGAATGGCATCACCGTGAACTCGTAGTGGCCGAAGCGCGATCGGAAGGCGGTCTTCGGTTGATCCATTGTGGCAACACATATCTGGTGGTAACCGCTACGAAGATCGATCTTCGTGAAGAAGCGGTTGCCTGCCAGACGGTCAAACAGCTCATCCGCACGGGGCATGGGATAGTTGTTCTTTACTGTGTAACGGTTAAGGACGCGGTTAGCGATGCAGAGGCGGAGAGTTCCGTCCGCTTTGCGAGCAAAGAGGACAGGTCCACCCCAAGGGGAGTTACAAGGTTTAATGAAACCCAGTTGAAGGAGCTCCTTAAGCTAACGCTTGAGTTCCGTCGCCTCTGGAATCGAGAGTCGGTATGGTGCCTGATGGTGAACACGATAGTCAGGCACGAGCTGGATGGAATGCTCGACACCGCGCATCGAGGGAATCCCGCTGTATGAGAAATAGGGGGGGAAGACGTCGCGGTACTCTCGAATCAGGTCGCGAACGGCGGGCTCTAAGTCTGTCGTGAACCGTGTGAGTTCCTCAGCGTCTGCGTCAGTACGAGACGTATGTGTGGATCGCGGCGCAGGGGCCTGAGACGTGGAGGAGGTATCCGCAGGCTGACGAGTGGATGTAAAGATGGGAGCCGCGAAGATGGAAGGAGGGTCAGGGGGATCGGGCTCCAGAAAGATGAGCTCAACCTCGGGACAGAGTGGATCGTAGCGAAGAAGATCCATGACGTTCACAGAGTAGAACGTGACGTCCTCCTGTCGTATGAAGTGAGCAAACTGACGAGGGGAAGTGAACGCGATGTTGGGGTGGGACCCTGAGGGACGAGGGTCCTGGGGAGGTAGGTCGGGCGAGGTGTCGCCCGTGGTCCCAATGAACGGGACGCGATGGGTCTGACCACACTTCGTTTTGAGAACGAGTGTCTCGGTCGCCCATTCGGCCTCTGTGCCACGAAACTGGCGAGACCAGGGAGTGCCAAGGATAAAGTCGTACCCAGTCTCCAGCACGTCGAAGTATGCGGAGGAATGGTAGCGCCTAGGCGTCTGGGGACTATCCGATGGCTGAAGGGTGAGGGAGAAGTGGAGGTCGGGGACTGTCTAATCGAAGAAGCGCTGCGTCTTGTTATCCCCGAGGGTAACGGAGATAGGAGAGCGAGACCCAGAGGTAGCTAGGCGAGCTTCCTCAACCACGCGAGGGTGAACGAAATCTCCCTGCGAGCCAGAGTCCTATAAAGCTCGGTACACCCTCGTAAATGTCCCTAGGCGAATAGGGATGATGGGTAGGGTGCGATCAGGGTCAGAGAGCAAGGCGAGAAGACGACGCAGGACGTTGATGTAATGTGTCTCGTGAGGCGCTCCTGACGAGCCTGCAGAATGCTCAAGTCCAGGAGAGATGACACAACGTCATCGCGAGTCGCCAGCTGAGCGCTACAACGGGCTGTGCGAATGGCGCGACGCGTCGGAAGTCTCGAGGGAGAAGCGCTAGATGCGGTGGTCTGTTGGGAGGCAGACGGTACCTCGACAGACGATGGGGCGGAGAGAACTGCGTCTGTCGTGTCCTGAGGGTCCTCTGGTGGGGTAGCCAGAGGGGCAAACAGCGACTCGATGGTCGGGAAGCCGGCTACGTGCGAGGCCTCAGGGGCACCGTGCATCGTGGCTAGGTGGATGGGGTTGGTCGGGCGGGGCCGGGGGGGGACTCAGATCGACGCTGACGAGAGATGTCAGCGTAGTGCCGATCGAGGGCGGTATGGTATGGACACCGTGAGGAGGTGTGTCCATCTAGGCGGCAACAAAGGCAGCCGCGCCGGGCCTCGAGGGCTGCACGCTCCTCAGGGGATAGGGCTCCGCAAGGAGGGACATAACCCTGCGGGAGGTCTATCTGAGGAACCGTGGGTGTGCGGGCGCCAGCCTGTGCAACCCGGCTACGAGCACGACCCATGGCAGACATGGCCATCAGCAAGCGCTCGGCCACCGGAACAATGTCGTCATCCAAGTGATACTGGATGACGTCTCGTAGCTCGATGTCCTAGGGGGCGTCCCCAAGGGTAGGGTCAAACTCGACCGAGGCGTCCTCGCCGTACTCCAGAGAGTTGTAGCGCCGAGAGAATGGCGCTCCAGGGTGGGCTGGTCGACGAAACCGGCCAGCGAAGGAGGATCGATCGCGGGTAGCACCACGTGACTGGGTGGCGGCGGCGGTGGATCGCGAAGAAGATGGAGTGTCGGAGAAGCAATTCCGCATCTTTTGATACTGTCGAGCAGCCTCGTAGGCTTGCTCGGCGGAGGCGAAGCTCTGTCGCCAGAGCTCAATACGGTAGTCAGTCGGGAGACTGACTACGAACCTGTTGATCAAAAGGGCCTTAGGTAGGAGTGTCTCATCGCAAATGAGGCGGGCGTCCTGGAACACTCTGATGTGACGCTCAAGATCGGAGGGTGTGGAGGACCCGCGCCACTGCGTCTGGGTGACCCGGTCTAGGGCGTCGGTCGCATCGTGGAGGGTGCCGTAGCGGTCGTGGAGGAACGCGGTGAAATCCGCGAGAGTGGGCGCCTCACCTGCACGAGTACGATGGGTATAATAGTTCTCCCAAGCGGAGAATGCACTGCCTCGCAATTTAGTTGCGAGGGCGGAACACCACAAGTCCTGACTAGTATTAGTCAGTGTCAGCGCACGTGTGGCAGCCTGTAACCAGTGCGACACACGCATCGTACCATCGTAGTCGGGTATGTGTGACAGACGCACAAGGGTGCGACTGTTGTGGTGGCGGCGAGGGGAAGGGCTGATGGGTCTGCACTACGGCGAAAAATGTCGGAGTTGGTGCAGAGGTAGAAGTGGGGGTTGGCGGTGAGCCGGGACCGCTGGTGGAAGGTCCAGCGGGCGTGGAAGTAACGGCCGCAGCTGACTGTGACGGAGTAGCAAGGTAGGAGGGTAGAGGGGGGGAAGCTGGTCGAGGGAAGTGAGCCGACAAGACAGTGGTGGGAGGGACGGTGTAAGAAGAAGAAGGGTGCGCAGCCTGTGGAGGGTGAGGTTGTCTAAGGGAGAGAATCTCCGCCAGGAGCTGCGCCACAATGGCTTGTAGGGTAGCCACTTGCTGGGTGCACGGGGTCGGGGGTGGAGGAGGCGGAGGGAGTGCCCTAGTAGGGAGAGAAAGAACTCCAGGCCGAAGTACCGTAACTGGTGCAGGAAGCTGCGACGCAGCACCGGGGTGGGTAGATGAGACTGCCTGGCCCGATGTCGGTATCTGGGCGACAGCACATCCGGCGGTGGCCGAAGCGGCAAGGATGGCGAAGGCGACGGCGACCGATGGGTGTACCGCCACAGATGGTGTGGTCTGGGCGGCAGCGACACTCACCACTGGGGCGGGGGAGTGTTGGGCCTGGCCCGCAGATGAGGACGAACCGCCGCGTCTCCGTCTCTGGCGTCGTGGAGAGTCAAACTCCAAGCTCGTAGGCGATGGGGTCTGAGAGCGGTGGGGGGTCCGATGAGGGGTGAACTTCAAGGGCGAGCGCATTAGCTTGCATCTCCGGGGGTGCAAGCGCATCGAGTCGCGCTTGCAGAGGTGCAAGGAGGGACGCAAGAACAACGCGAAGGTCCGTGGGGTCCACACCATGCTGACCCTGGACCGTGGGGTGGGTGGACGCCTGAGAGGTGGATGGCACCGCAACGATCTCCTCCACTGTAGCCATSTCCGTGGATGGTGGAGGAAGAGAGGTAGACATGGTGGGAGGTGGGGKRAGATATGGGTTGTGGYATGGGGACAGAGGACCACCGGTGAGAGGGAGAGRACCGCGGGAGCRGRGTGGGTAGTCGTGGGTCGGCTCGCCCCGTGACCAACGGGTCGCGCGTGAGATGGTGGCGCGAATCCGGTCTAGGGGAGAGGAGCCGTTCGGGTCCAGGGTGCCCGACGGAAGGAGGTGGGAGAGTAGGTGGGGTTAGGGAAACCCTAAACCCTAAAAAAACCCTAAGGAAACCCTAACCGGAGTTTAGGTGGTTAGGGGAAGGTGGCGGCGTCCTAATCAAAAAAAGAAAATAATAAATGTGGAGGGGAGGGAGAATAGAGTAAACAGTGGATATTTGAGATAAAAATAAAATAAAAGAATAAGTAAAAATAAATAAATAGATAAAATGTAAAGATTGAGAAGAGAGAGAATATTTATTTTTTTGGAATTTTCAGCAACATTTTCCCACTCCGCATGGGATCAAAAATGTGCGAAGAGGAAGGAAAGTGCAAGAGGGACACACTAACTTTTAAAATGCCGCAAATTAAATTTTTCAAAAAAATAAATAAATAAATAAATACGGAGGTGTAGGAGAGTGAAGAGAAGCTAAGTTTTGGAATTTTTCATAAATTTCGGCAACATTTCGTTACCCCCATGGGGTCGAAGTGTGCCGTCAAGAAAAAGACTGAGTAAAATAAGAAGATTTTGTCAGCACTTCACTACCCCCAAGGGGTCAAGATGTGCTGAAAAAAGACTAAGTATGAAAAAAACGAAAAATTTCGGCAAAACTTCGTTACCCCCACGGGGTCAAAATATTTGCCAAAAACAAAAATGACTAAGTCCTAATCAGATTTTAGGGTGCCGCAGAAAATTTCAAATTTTCAGAATAAATAATTTAAAAAATAATAATAATAAATAAGAAAAGAGGTAGGGAATAAGATGATTCAGATTTTTGAAGGAAAAGAAAATTTTACATCAAAAAGAAAGAGAAAAGAAGGAAAAACAAAAAAATTCGGAGTTGGGTGTGGGGGATGGGGGAGATGATGGGATTGTAGTTGGGGGAGGGAAGGAGGAGAAGAGGGTGGTAGGATGGGAGAGAAGGATATGAAAAAGGTGGAGATAAGTATGAGATTAGTGAGAAATTGTGAGTGGGGAGGAGAGAAGAGAAAAAGGTTGTGGAAGATGGGTGGAGAGGGAGGTAGGGGCAGAGTGTAGTGGTAGGGGGGAAAAGATGATTAGATGATGGGGGGAAAAAGAGAAAAGAGGTTGGGGGAGAGTGGGTTAGTGGCAGGATGATGATACCACGCTCTTGGGTGGCCAAGAGCAAAGTTCTACCAAGATCCATAGGATCTTGGCCTTCAAGATACTATGGTGTGATGCCACAACAGTAATGATGATGATGGAGGGTTGGCTGAGATCTTGATCAGCCACCCTAATGCCACAGTCACACAGCCCCCTAGCCAGGGGGAAATCTTGAACTGTTGTCAAACTGCTGCTGCAACAGTGTAGAGATAGTGAAAAAGAAAAAATAATAATAGATATATGTCTGAGGCGCAGCCCCCTAGCCAGGGGGGTCTTCAACAGGTATCCACTTGGCAGTGCAGATTGCCACGTCTGCAGGCACCAGCAGCCA